CGTCATATTCAGTCGGAGAAATGCACAATTTTCGACTTCCTTAACTCGTAGCCCTGTTGCCCCAATTACGAGTAACGTTATCACATCAGGTGTGCAGAGGTGGGAGAAGTACTCAGATCTTGTCGCTAAGTAAAAAAATACCATAGTGTAGGAAGAGTTCCTCAAGTCAAAGTATGATCATCAAAATATATTTAAAGTAGCGACAGTACAAGTAGTCATTGTGCAGATTGTTCCATTTCAGAATAATATATATGATATGTTTTATAATGATTGATCATTAAAGTGTTCTCAAAGCTGGTAAAGGTGCAGCTAGTTTGAATGATATATTATATATCTGTATACTGCAGGGTAGCTTGTGAATTTACTAAAGTCTGAGTTAACACTTGATTATATTTCACATCATTCATCCACATCTGTAAAGTAACTAAAGGTATTAAATACATGTAGTGGAGTAGAAGTACACCATTTAACTATGAACTGTAGTGGAGTAGAAGTACACAGTAGCAAAACATTTAAATACTCCAGTAAAGTACAAGTACCTCAACATTTTACTCAAGTACAGTACAATATTTTAACATAATTATATATATTTAATTTATTTCACATTTTAAATAAAGCAATTAATTCGGTTAACAATTTGTTAGTTTTTTCCTTTAAAGCTCCCATGTCATGCTTTTCCGGTTATTACCCGTCCCCTTGTGTGTTATGAAGGTTTTTATGCATGTAAACGGTGTGCAGAGTCAAAACCCTCAAAGTACACCCTGTAGCGAGTAAAACTCTAACACAGAAAATACCTCCCCAAAACGCCTCGTTGGAGATACGTCACTGCCCATTTGAGTCTTCCATTTAGTTCCGGGTACCGCCTGATGTCATGCGGTACCCGGAACGAAATGGACCAATCCCGAAGAGCTATGGCCACACCAGCAGCGTCGTGTTCCTCCTCCAGAGGTTCGAAGAACCGGCATTTCACAGACGAAAGCTTCCAAAACATTGCCCAGTTTGAGGCCGGATATGCACAGCTTGTTTGGAGCGTTTGGAGCAGGGGAAGATCTGGGTATACAACCTGTAAGTTTGCATTGTTATTTGTGTATTTATCAAACAAGACTGTTTAAATGTGTAAACTGTGTTGGACTGCTAAGCCATTGACACAGTGCTAACTAAGTTGCTAGAGTTTCCATATATCAACTCTAATATCAGCAGATGGCCTTGCATACATGTATCTCATAGCAGGAGAATGTCTGCATTCACACACAAAATACCTATTGACAGTATACTCCGGGTGATTTGCCGGTCAGTCGCGAAACGTAATTACATTATAGCTGGCGTAGCGATCTAACACACGGAGCTAGAGCTAGTTTCGGTCAGAAAAACATTTTTGTGATGCTACGTTGCTAGCGTTTAAATATATCAACTACAATGTCAGCAGATGGCCTTACATGTTTGTCATGGCAGGAGAATGTCTGCAGTCACACACACGGAATACTCATACAGTATACTGTACTGTGATTTACCGTACATTGTGACCGTACATATACTGCATGTAGCTAACGAGGCTAGCTGTATGCTAGCGTAAAACAATGTATTCATGCAAGTTACATTGTATGACCGAACGTAGCAGAATACCCGTATACGATTGCAATTATAAACACGTTATTGCTAGCCTAATATGAACCACTAGCTTTTGTTCATAGTAGTTTTATTACACTGCATTATAGTTGCCTTTCCTCCAAGCTAACGTTCATATCGTGTTAGCTACCAAGGTAAACAAAGCTAGGTTAGCATATTAGCAGGCAAGCTGTTCATTACACAACTACTACTAACGAATCTAAAACAACTAAGTTTCTCTAATATTTTGTGATTTGCATTTGATTTCGTCCAGCCAGATCCTGGCGGACAATCCATGACGGGGAAGGGATTCTACTACTACTGAGGGTGCTAAAAGGCACCGCACCGACTGTGCGCAGGCAAGATGCGAGGAGGAGGAATGGATGATATACCGTGTATATATGTATATTTATGTTCATTTTGTACATTTCTAAAAATAAAGTTTAATGGAAATACTTAGTAGGCCTATCCTTTCTTCCCTGAATTCATATATAGCAAACCATGATTTGATTTCTCATCAAACAGTAGTAGTTTATAACGGGTAAAAATAACTTACTCTTTGTTATGAGAGTAGCTCGTAGGCCACAACGGAAATACAAGGAGACATACACGAGTTTACAAAACCACGGCACATTTATTGTAGTAAATGCAGAGACAGGTGGTCGAGGGGAGAGGGTCGCTCAGTTCGTCCTTCTGCAGCCGCTTTGGAGAGAGACTCCGGGCCGCTGGGATTAATAGCACCGGCTACGGAGGTGTCCGTGATCGCGCTGATTACCCTCTTCAGCTCCACCCCACCGTAAGACAAAGGCCCTGAGGCCGTCACACTCTTCTATAACAACAGTTAAAAATATATATGTATATAAAATATACCGCTGTACCGACGCCATGATAAGACTGATGTTACGCTGAGAGCAGCCGGGAAAAGCACTGACATGGGCGCAGCCTCTCTGGTGGTTGACTAATCAGAACGAGTGGCCGAGCTGACCAATCGGAGCACACTAGGCTCACAGGGAGGGGGGGGCAAGAGCTCCAACGAGTCGTTTAGTGGAGAAAGTGAATACTGCTGAATACACATGCTTGACAGAGATGCTGTATGCGAAACCAATGTGAGTTTGGAAAATTGCACAGTATAAATCTATTTTAGTATACCTCAACAATGTAATTATGATCAGTGGAAATGGCCATGACATGGGCCCTTTAAAAAATAACAAAAAGTAAATACAAGAATGCCGTTAAAGTACCGGATCGATAAGCAGTATTGATAAGACTAGCAGTACCGTAGAAAACCTTAACGATACCCATCCCTAGATATTACACAAGTAAAGTGTTAAGAGAGTGAAATGTTGCTTTACGAATTTCAACACTTGATGCTGTCACATTGATTACAATTTCAGATACCTGTATTTGCCTAACTGAATTGGTTTAAAGAGAGAAAACATTTTGACTAAAAGTTGACTAAAATGTAATTTTTCATCGACTAAAAGTAGACTAAAACGTTTTGAGTTTTCGTCGACTAAAACTAGACTAAAACTATGAAGGATAGAAATGACTAAAATGTGACTAAAACTAATTACCATTTTCGTCTAAAGACTAAGACTAAGACTAAATCAAAAACAGCTGCCAAAATTAACACTGGCCCAGATCAACAACCTTAGAAGCACACAGCTTAAGAAACAAGACGACACAGCACATAACCACAGCCACATGAAGACATTTGCTCATGCTACTTCCAATAAAACAATATTGTTGTCATTCCAGAATTGGAAGACTATGGCTGCGTCTCACTTCGGTTATTTTTCATTTCCTCGCTCCTCGGTCTCGGTATCACCGGAAGTTGATTTGTCTGCGCCATCTTGAGTAGCGTCCCAGTGGCCTTATTTGTGCCGGAGGATTGAGGATCGAGGAGCGATAACGGAGGAGTGATAATCGAGGAACTACCAGACCATCCTCCGGTGAAATCCTCAGACACTCGCCCCGCCCCCTTACTGTGTATCGCTCACTGATTGGACGATGCAGCGCATGCACTGATCTGGCTGCTGTCAGACGATCAGCTGTTATTACAAACGTTATCACAAACGGACGTCGCTTCACGTGACGCTCCGGAGGAAACTGCGTCCCATTGCTCTTAAAACTCATTTCCCTGCTTCTCGTGGTTTCCTTGCGTCTCTCCATGCTTCCCTGGTGGGAGGGACTAGTCGCAGGGAAACGACGCAAGTGAGGGACGCAAGGAATCCATTAAACCGAAGTGAGATGCACCCATTGTCTGTCCCACCAATGACATTTCAAACATTCCATGCCCAAAAGGCTCAAACATGCACTTGTTGTGTTAAATATGCATGTCCTTAAACAAAATGTAAATACAGTTGCATGTCAAATGAACATTTAAAATATTATATTTATTATTTATATTGACTTGTTTTGCAATTACTGTATTGTGTGGATATATGTCTAATGATAATCAAAGGAATTTATTCAATCATAAACATTAAATAACTTTAACTTTACATTTCCACTGAAGGTGTGTCCCTCAAGATGCAACAATTAACCCTTTTTCTTAACAATGAACTAATGAACACAACTGTGTTAACAAATTGGTTGGATCAACAGGTTCATTTTTCCCTAGATTTCTATTGATTTCAAAGTTCTAGCCCACCATCAAGTGCCGTTGAAAAGCAACAAATAAAACAGCTAATAAACAAATATGTACCATGGATGCTTGAGCTGGCGAAATCCATTTGTGTGATGGTTTACCAGCTGTTTTTCTCAAATACATAACAGGAAACTAGAAAATAAAGCAGGTGTGTCCAAACTACGGCCCGGGGGCCAACTGCGGCCCATTGTCCACTCTGAATTGGCCCTCAGAAAATTCTAAAAGTATAATGGAAAATGGCCACACCTGAAACTTTTACTATTCTTATATTGTACTTCTTAAATATATATATGTAAACAGATATTACACGGTATAAATAATGTGTCGGTCAATTCAAGTTGATAATACACATTTTAATCATAATAAATAACTTATTTATATAACCAGCTTGAAATATACCCTTCATATTCCCCTTAGTATAAGCAATCTGAGGCTCCTGTTTGAAGGGATCAGCTGCCAACACTTTTTGTAACAGAATAAAGTATTTTTTTTAAGAGAAAAAAGTTTGGACACCTCTCAAAATAAAGGGTTTATTATTCAAAAGCTTTGACGTCTAAATGTCCTACAATTCTGATATGACTCAATTACTTTCATTCTAATTGTTCTGACTATGCCTACAGGTGAGTGACAGTGCAGAGAGCAGAGTCACTGACTGACCCTACCTTACTGTACTCCCCCTCCCACAGACACACACACAAACAGGTGTTCCCCTCTCACCGTATCTAGCATTTAACAGGCAACTTACCCACTGTAGTGAGCTTTAATTTTCACAAACTCCGAGTCCAGCTCCATGATGGATCCGTTAGGCGCTAGCATATGCATGTTAAAGTCTGGTGTAACGTTACCTCACAACTAGCCCAACGTTACCCGAACAGGCCCAAACTAGCGGTGTCACCCCGGCAGGTCGGAAGACAAAGGTTCCACTTTACATTACACCGCCGGGAGCAAAGTTTCTGACCTGGAAAGAAAACTTGTCCTGCTTCTAGGAAGTTCTGTTTAGTCAACGATAAGAAGCTTCTCTGGAGGAGGGGTTGTCAATACCGCATTATAACATTGTCATTTTCGGGAGTTGTGTTTCAAAATAAAACGAATATAGCAAAGGTACGGTCTACTGGGATAAAGGATGAAAGTAGAGCTTTTATTCTGAAGGTGAAACCTCACAACTCGTCATCGCGGCCGGATAAACTCTGTCTAGCTTGACACTGTGTTTTATGGCTCACTATGGTTACCTTACCGGAATCCAAATTCACCTGTCCCATTGTTTCTACAAATAATATTAATGTAAAAATCTGATGGTGGATGGTAACAGTCCAGAGCGATTATATATCGAATTTATTGAAGTTAGTCGAATGGTATTTATATAGGTAAACTGTCTCTACCCGACACGAGTGACCTTTTTCATGGAATATTTGATCTCTCTTATTGTAATGTCCTGATCATAATCCAGCGCGAAAAATCGGCGTCTTTTCCATTCCCTGAAATAATGTATTGATATTACGTCAACAAGTGTTGAACACTGTATATCATTTAATGGGGACAACGTTGTGACATGTGCTGTCATAAATGAGAAAACCACAAAAACAAATCAAACATGTCATGAGGATATTTCATGGATCCAAGGAGGCCTGCTCCCCACTTCAATAATGCAGCTGTTGGGCGCCCTCTGCTGGTGGATTACTAAACAACTTTAGGAGAGATAGTCAGTCATTTACCATTCAAACACATTTCCTTGGTAAAGGCAGGAGGCTCTGGTTTATTGCATTACGTCACGTGTCAGTGTCACCCACCTGAACAAGTGTGAACCTCAGGTTTGATATAGACCAGCCTATAATGAGAAGTATGTGAATGTCAAACAATGTGAACATTCTAAGCCAGGGGTCACCAACCTTTTTTAGGATGAGAGCTACTTTCACAAAATAAAACAAGTCGTGAGCTACTTTCACTCCTCTCTTTTAGTTTTTTTGCAGTGTACTGTATATATTTAGCACATTTTAACATGATATGCTGACCTTTAACTTTTGTGTGCTGTTTGGGTCTGTGGGACCCGTTTGCAGTGTTTACTAAAAGAAAATGTATGCAATTTAATTATTTTAACCTGCTTTATTTGGGGGTGGACCTCACATCCTCTAGGGGGGTCCGGGGGCATGCACCCCCTGGAAGATTTGTTTTTAAATGTTGAAGTGAAATGCATCAATCTGGTGCACTTTAAGCACAACATGAATTGATGGATACAGCTCTCAACACTCAGATGAAAGGGAGCTGTATACTTTTCAATAATCCAAACATCTTTAGAATAATAATAGCTTGGATTTATATAGCGCCTTTCATGAGACCTGTCACGGAGGTGATCTCTGGGCCCATAGATCTTGGCCTCCGTTACGGGTTGTATAGCTTAATTGTTGGGGATTGTGTTCACCAGAGGCCTGTACTACGAAGCCGGATTTTCGCTTAGCCGGCTGACTTCAGGGAAAACTCGGGCTTTCCGGTCCTACGACGCTGGTTCTCTTTTTAGCGGGCTAGATCTCCATGGTAACTTATGCTGAGCGGCTAACCTCCTCGGGAGGAGGTTAGGTTGCAGGCTAAGAGATCAACTCAGTGAAAGCACCGCCTGCTGACCAATCAGAGCTCCGTGTGCGGAGTTTAAAGCTATCAAGTCATATTACAGGATAGAGGAAATACAGAAAAACTGCCGTTGCAGGAAAGACAGCCGGCAAAAATCAACTGACTGTGTGAACGTGAAAATGAATAGAATATCCCCTCCCATCTTCAGAGCAATCTGACTATTATAACATTAGCGTTAAGAAAGCTTACTTAAATATCTGCCACGACATAAGTAACCGGATCAGAGTAACATTAAGTACAGTCCGCGGCACTGTGAGTGCAGACGTCGATGTGTCCCATTATCATTCATATCATATCACATCATAATGTATCATATATTTCCTTATTTGAGTCAGCTTCTTGAGCCGTATCTGGCCGTGCAACACTCACAGTGTCACATACTGTATGCAGAAGTATTATTTTAAGCAACACATTAAGTTGACGAAACACTCGAGTCAAATGTAATTAAAGTCAGATCGTGTCTTAGACGGGGCAGTGATATCATAAACCTGTTAATGTACGCATTCAAACTAGGGCTGTCAGTCGATTAAAATATTTAATCGCGATTAATCGCATGATAGTCCATAGTTAATCGCAATTAATCGCAAATTAATCGCACATTTTTAATCTGTTCTAAATGTACCTTAGAGGGATATTTTTCACGTTTTTAATACTCTTATCAACATATGAGTGGACAAATATGCTTTATATGTTTGTTTATTATCATTTGAACAATGACAAATATTCTCATGAATATTAAACACAACAACCTCTGAACATTGTGTGTGTGTGTGTGTGTGTGTGTGTGTGTGTGTGTGTGTGTGTGTGTGTGTGTGTGTGTGTGTGTGTGTGTGTGTGTGTGTGTGTGTGTGGAGAGACTGTGATGGATCGATGGAGCTATGTGCAGCTCAAGGCATATATGCTCCAACGGGAGCTGCCTGGACGCTGCATTCATGTTGCACGCACTATCCGTGCTGAGTGTGCTGACTTTTCGTACAATGTCCCACTGTCTGGCTACCTGCATAAAGTCAAGTGCTCGGCGCAGTTGTCGGCGAAATGTCATTGAAACAGCTCCTTATATCCGTTAGCGCAGCTAGCTAGCACCAGATGCTAACAACAACAACACGTAAGGTGTGCCTCGCTCGCGCGAGTCGCGCCACACATACACACTCCCTCCCGGTCCTCCCGATGGCCAGTCCGAGCCTGCCGGTGAGCGTGGAAGTGTGGTCTGCCACAAGCGGGCGGCAGGAGTAGGGCTGTCAGCATCAGCTTGTAGATGGTATTTTAAACTCGATGCGCTCTGAAACTACGGGGCGGCCGAGGACAAAAAATACACATGCGTTAATCACATTAAAATAATTAGTGGCGTTAATTTTTTTTTGCGTTAACGCGTTATTAACGCGTTAACTTGACAGCCCTAATTCAAACGCTTTTTCTTTTACCAGCTGTATTCACCTTGCAGGTGCAGCTATGTGGCTTTTATCCTGGATAAAGTGTTTAAGTCATGGATGTTTAAAGTTTAACTTCTTCATATTTGACTAATATTAAAGTTCACTTTTCATTCAGGAAGTATGACGCTGCGCTGTCAGTACGCTTGTCCATGTTTGTGATTGGTCGAATGCTCCAAATACCACCCCTTTCATGTGAACGCGCACCTAACTAGATAGGACACGGCTGGCTTGAGCGATCCACTTGATAACCAGCGTCGTAGTACAGCTTAGCGAGAGCGCGTATGTTTTGGATTGGGCCAACCGGCTAACTCAAACATATCCAGGTTAGGAAAATCCGGCTTCGTAGTACAGGCCTCTGGTGCCCTGTGATGGCTCCTCCCCCCTCACCTGTGTCTAATTGCTCCACCCTCACCTGTGTCTTGTTAGTCTGTGTGTGTATTTAGGTGCTGTTTTCTTGTTGGGTTAGAGGTGTGTGAGATCCTTGTGGCTGGTGACTGTGCTCACGTGAACAGCGAGATTGAGGCTGTGTCATGTGCCCGTGAGTAATAAATGCCCACACCGGGTTGTATTTTGGACGTTCTGCCTCTGCCTCCTTGCTTGGTCGGGCCGCTCAACGGTCAGCTTCACAAGACCCAAGGTCGCTTTACAAAGAAGAACAGGGGAAAAACAAACATAACAAAAACAAAAGGCAGTCAGACAACCAGTCAGACAGACAAAACAACAAATAGATTAGGGGCCAAAGGCCTTAGCAAACAGATGGGACTTGAGGGTCCTTTTGAAGGCGTCAAGCGTGGAGATGTTGCGGATCTCCGCAGGGAGAGCGTTCCATATGATCACAACCAATAACAAATCATTTAAACTTTTTTATTCTTATCTTATGTTACCTAGTTAGCATTATTTCTTTCTATTTATGCATATTTTACTAATCACTCTCCTTTTAAACTGCTTTTTGTTTTTGTTACTGTCCTATAGTACACATTGGAATGATTTCTTACTTAATTATTTACAACTAGGCTATATTAAATAGATAAAGGTGTGCTCTCTCTAGCTCTCTCTCTCTCTCTCTCTCGCTCGCTCACAGAGGCTGTGTGCTCCTCCGTGGCGATGACGGCTTCTGTTAAAAAATAATAATAAACATAAGCTATTTGTAAAGTGGGGGAAACAGGATTTCTAAAAGTGGTGGGGACATGTCACATGTCCCCCCTGTCCCCAGTGGAAATGATGCATGTGCGTCAAGTGCAATAAATATGCAAGTTGCAACACACACACAGTAAAACACTGCCTGTACTGTCTATCTCCCGACAGTATGGGTGAAATCAGGTTGAACGGAAACAACTCCTAATTTTGATAATTTAATCAAATCCAAATAGGTTAACCTAGAAAAAGGACAACAACAATACAACAATTAGGATCACACATATCCCATACACATTAAATCACATTCAATATAATAATCACACTTACTAGTGGCCTCTCCTGATTCCTCAATCTCAATGACGTTAATTTATTTATCCCCTCTATGTATAACACATCAATAAACCCCGCGAATCTCCACCCAGATTTAAAGTCACATAAACTGAACCCCATTCATTGAACCCTCATACACCCAGCACAAACCATGAGTTTACAGCACACCTCCCACTTGGCCTCCTGGTCGGATGACCCAAGGAGGCCACCAACCTAAATAACCTTGCTCTGGTGGTGGTGTCTGTGGAGGTTCCTTCTTCTTAGTTCTCCACTTCAGAATCTTCAACGACCCCGAAGCCAGGTCCCCCCGCAGAGGCACAGGTTTGACTTTTCTGTTGTCCAGGACTCTTGCCTCCCACTTTGCTTGACCCGCCGCTCGGCCTCTTCTAGTCAGGCATTTCTCTACAGCTCGCCGGACCCATGCGACCACTCCACATAGCCTAGCCAGACTGCTGAACCTCTCTGGTTTCACCAGGTTCACAACAGCAATGCTCCGAAA